CAAGAGTAGATCATTTCTTTTTATTCTATAGAGCTAAGGAAGCTGAGCCTGGAGAACTGAAGGCCCAAAGTCAGGTGGTGGGCTGCTGTAGACAGGAACATCTTCCTCCACTCCCTGCCTGAGTTTCCCGCCCAACTACACTGGCAGGCCCCTTAATCACAGCATGGAGCACTGCCTTGAGTGAGCACTATGGATTAAGTGACTTCCTTTGCAGTTGGTGCTCTGAAAACCCTGCGCTTGGAGAATATGAAGTCATTTCTTTGCCAAATAGGAGAGGAGCTATTTTTACAGAATCACTGTTCTTCAAGCCACTGCTTTCCAATGATTACAGAGCAGATTTCTGAGAGCGGTAATCCTGCTGCCACTGTAGTAACTGATTACAAAGCCCATCTCTCCCTTCCCAAGGATACCACCTTTTTTGAAAAAAAAATTCATTTTTTTAGAGCAGTTTTAAGTTCACAGCCAAACTGAGTGGAAGATGCAGAGATTTCCCATATATCCCCCACTCCGCACATGGATAGCCTCCTGCATTACCAACAGCCCCACCACAGCATGGCTACACTGGTTACAGTCGATGAATCTACCCTGATACACCATAATCACCCAGATCCAGAGCTTACATTAGGGCTCTCTATGCTGTTCCATTCTGTGGGTTTCAACAAATATATCATGATGTATATCCACCATTATAGTTTCATACAGAGTGGTTCCACTGCCCTAAATATCAGGAGGGCACATTTTTATTTTATAATCTTTAGACACTTGTCTTGTCAATGGGTTTCAGTCCTTGGCAAGTTCACTATGGACTCATTGAAACCAAGGAATGACAATGGAATGTTCTTGGGGTGAAAGGGTTATACCCAACTTTATTCCTCTGGTGTCAGGTCAATTACTAGAATCCTGTCCACTCAGTGTGAGTCTGCATACAGCAAGCCTGTCTCTGCCTCTGGGCCTCTCTACCCCAGCAGCTGTCTCAGTTTCTGTCCTCGGTGCTGCCCCAACTCCAGCCTCCACTGTGCTCTCCTGCAGCCTTGCAGTCCTGCAGCCGTGTCGCCCAAAGCACTGGGAGGGGCTCTTTGTATAGAGTCAATAACAGTGTATTGCCCACACGTGTGTAGTGAGCTAGCCGACCAGGGCCAGGTGAGAATCCTGGCCATAGGGACCTTCACTTTCTCCACAACACTATAGGATGAAACCCCTACGGAGGACATAATTTAAAGCGAAAGTATCAGAAGCACCACCCTTGAAGTCCAATAAGCCACAAAGATCAGACAGTGAAACCATTTTGTCAACTGGGAGAGTAAGGTGAGCCACGGCATTGTCTGTAGATCACCTTTTCAAAGGCACACCTTCATTAGTGACTTCCTTCCTTGGCTTCTTCCTTCTTTACACTCACCTCTGTGAGGCCCACGCTCTGCAACAGGCCCAGAGCATGATGAGTGAGCCTGTATGCAAGTGCTGCTTTCTAAAGAATTCCAACATGTAGATGTATTCCAGGTACTCCAGCACCTTTGGCAGTTCCCTAATCCACTGGAAATATGGCTGGATGTTTCAGACATGTGGTTCTCAATCTGGCTGCAGATCAGAACCTCCAGGCAGCCAGGCCTGGTTTCATGAGCCTATCACTAGTGCAGTCACCCCAGGTTCCATTTTTAGAAGAGTCCATGCTTAGTTTAATGCTCTACCAATACAATCTTGAAATTTCTTAATAGTTTTTAACAAGGAGTCCAGTGTTTTCATTTTGTACCAAGTCCCACAAATTATGTAGCAATCCTACAGCAACGCTCAAATGTGTCCATACCCAGGCTGCACCAGGGCCAGCCAATCAGGATTCCCAGAGGTGGACCCAGACCTCTGCACTTTGTAAAGCTCCCCGGGTGATTGCAGGGGGCCACCAGTTTGGGGATCCATGGGGGTAGAGGGGAAATCCTCAACTAGGGTGCTCATATGTGTGTTGTGAGGGACATCAGATTCTCCTGGAGCATTTTTCCTAACTCCACACACTGATGTGTAGAAATTAATAAATATTTTCATTCCTAAACATTCTGATCCCACCCAACTCCCAGGCAGGAACTTTTGATAAATATGACTGAGCTAGCCCCACTATGATTGCCATTGCCAAGATACTGAGAAGCTATGACAGTAAATGCACATGGACAGCTAGGACCTGCATCTGGGGTGGTCCCTGGCTTGTGACTTCATATCCATAAGGTCTGTTCTCTACCACACTGCTAACTGAGCACAGCTACTGAGAGGCAGTGTGGCAGGGAAGGGGTGGCATGGACAAGCCCAGCTCTAACTCACAGCTGTGGGGTCTGCAGCATGTTTTCTCTGTGCCTCAGTATCCCGATTAGTAAAATGAGCATAATAATGCCCAACTCATAAGGGTGCTCCAAGGATTAACTGAGAGAAGATATATAAAGAGCCTAGCATGGTGCCAAGCACATACTAGGTAGACAATGCACACTGGTGTCCTACCTCCTCCAAGAGGAAATACTAGCACACCTTTCTCCTCACTCTCAACTGTGTCTTTTACTGAAAGAAAATAGAACTCATTATTATGGAAACAAGGAAGAAATAGTAAGCAATATCCTTTAATTAGAGTGCTTTTCAAATATGCAATTCATATCCATTCAGCATATGGTTTTTAATACTTTTTACTAGGTCAAGATGTCAGAGATGACTTCTATATATTTATATGTATATATACATGTGCATGCACATACACATATAAGAATATGCATATGCACATACACTACATACATACATATGCATGTATATGTATATAAACACATACATATGCACACATATTATACAAACTCATATATACATACACACATATATGACAAATCCCTGTTATTCAGTATATATTTTTAAATTTTACTAATTTGAACTAGAAAAGTAACACTTTCATTGTAACAATTCAAACAACATAAAAGTAAGTAAATTTACTAATCTGTACTCCTCCCTCCTATGTCCACCCTTCTAGAGCAACCATTTTTAAAATAACTTAAAGTTAAAAATAAACTTGATATGGATTTTTTCCATCATTTTTCTTTTGCATACCCATACACACACCCCATATGGGTATATACTACATATCACATTCAGTAACTTGCTTTTCTTTTCTTCTTTTTTCAAACAATATAATGCAGACATCTTTTGAAGTCAACCTATATCACTTGTCTATGAGTTTTCAATAGCTTGTTACATTCCTCAGGATGGATGTGCCCTTTACAACCATTCCACCGGTTGCAGTCATATGGTGTTAGTCTGTGGAAGAAGATGCTGCAGTAAACAGCCTTTTATAAATTTTAAATACTGGTGCTTCTATTTCCTTTGCATAGGGCAGGGATAGAATCTCCAGCAGGCAGTAACACAAGAACAGGCAAAGCACAAGTCAAACAAATGATGATAGATATGCTACCCCGACTTTTCTTCACATGCCTACCACATCCCAGGCATTACAGTAGGGTGTACAAGCTACGAATGTGAACAAGACTCAGTCTGACCTCAAGCAGTTCCCCAAAGCAGCACGTGATTAAATGTCAAAACCGATGTTACACATGATATACATCTTAGTATTGTGAGGTCCATGGTGAAATCTTCCCAGTAGTGCTTAAGCCAACCTCTATTCCAGCCCTAGATTCTAACAAGTTCCATTGACTCTGAAGCAGTTTTGCATGAAAAGCCTCTTCATGCAACTCCTTTTCAATCATTTTTGTAGGAGAAGACAGAAGAACTCCCAACTAAATCACAGGAGGGATGTTAACTTTCTGCTCTAATGTGGTCAGTAATGTCTGATTGTTCAGTTTGCTCCATCATTTTCTTCCAGGAGCTGAAAGTGAAAACGTTTTCCCAGCAGAAGGCCACGAGGTTCCTGTCAGGCCTTGGACCCATTTCAGTAACACACTTGCAAGTAGACACTAACCCGCTTCACATGGAAGAACCGGAAGTTACAAAACCAAGTTCAGTCATCAAGGAATTTTTGAAAGCACATTTAATGGGATTCAACAGAATTTTTTAAGCAGCTATGAAACAATGTCACTGAAATTGTTATTACTCTTGGCGATTTTACTGCACAAATGTTTAAATGCTGTGGCATCCTTGGAGATGGGCAGCCTGTGTTTGCTTGGAAAAGCCACTTGCTGTTCAGCTGCCAGGCGTGCAGGTAGCTGCCAGCCTGCAGGATCTGCTTCCCATTCCCACGGAGGCCCAGGTCTTCCCAGAAGCCCCAGCCAGTGGCTGAACATGGTGTGGTGTGAGGGCCTGGCCCTTTCTGGGACGGGCACTCCTTCCTCTGGAGCGTTGGTTGGCTGGGACTGTCAGCCTGCATCAGCCAGCTCTGCACTGCAGTCTGGGGCTCTCCTGTCCATTCCTGCCTCTGCTTTCTTTTTATAATGTCAGGTCTGCATCATGATTTGAGCCTCTGGCCAACCCTGGTTCCTCCCCCTGTATCCTGCACAGTGTCTGCTAACTTCCTTTCCTAACTTCTCAGTGTGTGCTTTCTGGGGGGCCCCCCAGACACAAACATTTGTGGGGCTTATAGGCACATAAACGCCATCCATCTCATTCAGAGGACTAAAGCGCCTGAATGTATCCCTGGCCCTGGGATGTTCATGTACCAGACTCTGCTAAAAATGACTTATGATTCTGCCAAAGTGAAAAGGACCATTTCATTTCAATTATTCAACTGGGTCACAAATGAAAAAACCAAACTTGGGGGAAAACAAACCTACATATATTCTCAAATTCCACTTTAGCTGCCCAAACTGTTTCTAAAAACCTAGGTAAGAAAGGTGTTTTAGTATTCCGTCTGTGTTTGCCATGATCTGAAGAGAGACAAGACATCACAGTTACAGTGAGAGAATACTATTTCCATATCTGCCTCTCTCATCACACAATTCCACTTTGAGCGCCGTTGTTCTTGATAAGCTGCTTCCTCTTGGGGTTCCGCAGACTTGAGAAGCAGGCAGGTAATAATTGCTTTCTTGTTGCAGGAGAGTTTGGAGAGGTGTACAAGGGGCGTTTGAAACTTCCAGGCAAGAGAGAAATCTATGTGGCCATCAAGACGTTGAAGGCTGGGTACTCAGAGAAGCAGCGTCGGGACTTCCTGAGTGAGGCCAGCATCATGGGCCAGTTCGACCATCCCAACATCATTCGCCTTGAGGGTGTGGTCACCAAGAGTCGGCCCGTCATGATCATCACAGAGTTCATGGAGAATGGAGCTTTGGATTCTTTCCTCAGGGTAAGAGCAGCTCAGGTGCATGGATGATGTTGGCTCTGGTGGACAGTGGAGGAGGATGGCTGGGGAGAAGGGTGTGCTTGAGGTAACCCGCCATTCAGGAATGACCTGGTGAAATGCAGATAGGCATGGGAGACATCTGTGAAGTTGACAGATTTGTTGCTAAAGTGACAGAACAAAGCAGAGCTTGTGGACCCCTCAGTTGGAGGATAGTGTATAGTAGGGCCTCTGATAAGGGCTTGTGGGATGATTGAGAATGAATAGAAGCAGGTGAAGAATGGCCATGGGCATGTGCATGAATCATGGAGACTGAGGAGACTTGCAGCTGCTACATTGCCCCATGTGAGTCACTCAGATGACAGTGGCCATCCCTGCCTTTTCCCCAGCACAGCTGCCCTCCCAGCCAGCTCTCTTCATTTGCAGGGCAGAGGTAAAACAGGGTTCCCTTTTCTGAGGCCTGGGCTACCTGCCCTCTGAGGAAGGGCTTCTAGGCAGGCAAGGGGAAGACTGTATCACAGCATCCAGAGTCACTCTGGGGTTAATGAAGGATTATGACTCCAAACCAAGCTGCAGCAGAGGTAGGGCTTGGAGATCTGTAAGAGGCCACTGTCAGGCAGCCCAAGGGAGCCACGCTGGAACCACTTTCTGTGTGTCACAGAGCTAGTAAGAGAGGGAGTGAGCAAGAACGGCCACCACTTATGTTGGAGGAGTGGAAGCCAGCTGAGCACAGGGCATGGAGCAAGGCCTACCTCAGACCACAGGCTCAGCTGGGGGCTGCTGGGACCCTGAGAGCAGAGGGTGCAGGGGATAGCATCAAAGAATGGGCTAAGGCCTCTGAGCACAGACTTCAGGGTAATACCAAGTTACAGGCTATGCATGTCACCAAGGCTACCACACAATAGCTATGGCTGCAGATTAAAGCTCCATTCATACAGTTGGTCTTCAAACATTCATGAGGTGACTGCTCTGGTCATACCCTGTGCTGGGAGCTGGCCTGTAGTGATGAAAGAGATATTGCTCTAATGCTTTGTAACAAACCACCCCAACTTGAGTGGCTTAGCACAACAATTTACTTTGCTCATGAACTGCAATCAGGGAAGGGCTCCGGGGAGCATCTCTGCCCTGTGTGATGTCAGGCCTAGAATCGTGTGACAGCTCACTCACTCACCTGTCGGGCAGTTGATACTGGATGTCAGCTGGCAGTTCTCCATGTAGCCTGCTTGGACTTCCAGACAGCAACCTGGGTGCCAAGAACCAACATCCCAAGAG